ATTGGTTCTTCTTTAACTCTTTTCTTTTGCCATAACGTTGAAAGTAATTTGTTGCGGAACAGTAATTCTCGAACAAAAAGTAAAAACAAAAGTGCCATAATCTAAGCCGTATCTGACCCCGCAAATAATTTATGTAGTTCACAAATGCTTTTGTAAGTCGTTTTTTGATTTAACATTGACAAGAAATATATTTGCTCAAGATCTACTGACACAGCAGTGATATTTTTATATGAGTCAAGCAATTAGCAAATTAAACGCAAGGTTTATTTTTATAATGTTTATATATTTTTAACAAATAGGAGAATTGAATTAACAAACACTTTAGCTGCATGTACATTATGCATCTCATATGCAATACAAATACATGTAGGTACAGATCACGATGTTTAAAAGTAGTAAATAATAAATAAATAATAATATAATAAAATACTTTAGCGAAATCGCTCTAATGCGCTTTGTTTATACATTTGTTTAATTATTTGTTACATCATATTTCTATTTCTTTCTTTCATAATCTTAGAAGCTTGGACATTGTTCTATACTGTTCTTATAAATTGGGAATTTTGAGAAACAATAAATATATATAAACAGCGCCAATGCGTGGAGAGTTTTTGAAAATTGACAAAGTTTGGAAACTGTTGTGTATAGATTGTTCTAAATAAAGGATTGAATACAAATTGGTGTCAGAAGCGGGATTCTGAATATTATTAATTGGAGAAGACAGTGAATGCCAGTGAGTACAAGATCTAAAGTAGCAGAAATGGAAAGTCAGTGAAACAGTTTATGAAAATGATGGTGGCACCGAAGGCAGGGCAGGATGAATTTGGATCTGTTATAAAGACAGGACAGTATGTACTAAATACATTAAGATCTGATATGTGGAATATGAAAGCCAAAAGTGACATGAAGAAACAATTAGCTGAAGAAGACAGTAGGACAAATAACACCAAGACAGAAATAGACAGCCGGTTGGCAAACGTAGACAACCGATTCGGAAATCAATTTGACAACAGTAGATTTGACAACATATAGAAAGCAGTGGACGAAGAGATTAATTGTAAGGAATGAGATGTAAAGATAGAATTTGAAAAAATTAAAACGAGGCGTGACTCTATGACAGAAACTGTCACGATTTCACCAAGTTTTGGTCAAAATTCAGCTTACGATGGTAAATCTTCTTGGCAAATCTACATAGAACAGTTTAATATCTCACAGAAAGTTAGTAACTGGATTGATAGTGAGCAATTCCAAATGGTAAACTTGTCAGCACCTAAACGAAATAGATTCGATACTGTTGTAACAAATCTCGGATGTTGCATTGCAACACCGCAGCTGGTCACATGGTAAAATTTTTGAAAAAGTTTTTAACTTAACCTTAGCTTTAGCGTAAGTAAATAATTATGGTGAAATATCTTAATCCTGAATGATTAGCCACTGCCACCGAAGAATATAATAAAAAGGTATTATCTTTCTGGCACGAAAATTATCAGTAATAATACGACAGAAACATTAAAGGTAAATTCAAAAAATGAACTCCTAACTATTAAGACGAGTGAGCTGTGTGGTAGTACTAAAAAAACTAAAAATTTTATGTATATTGGAGTACAAAGAGAAAATAATTTATCGCTTCTTATTCATCTAATATTTTTAAATATGTAATGATGTTATTTGCTTGGTTATATGTTCTCTCCCATATCTAGCAAATTGTTTAGCTTTTAGTAAAAGGTGCCCACTGCTGTAGAGTATATTGCGAACAATTTATCAAGTGACAGTATTTGTCATGCGTTGGCTTGGAAGTCGGAGAATTGTATGGGAGACAGGACATTGTTTATTTGGCATTCGAATTAAGTATGCACGTTTGCTATTTACTATTGATTTTATTGTGCTCAAATCACCATAAATCACAATAAAATGGAAAAAATGGTGTGAAACGGCGCCGGCGGTGGCACTAAACACGGCAAAAATAAATTATTTTAAAACTACAATAATTAATTGAATTAATTTGCAGTACGAGTTCAATTACAGATGATACACTAATCTCTCTCTCTCTCTAATCAACTCTAAAACTATTTGTTTTACAAAAAAAATAGAGGATTTTGTTGGAAATACAAATAAAATGTAATTATCATAATGTAAAAAAGCATACCTAAATGTTTTTGTTAAATAAATAATTTTGGATTTATATATTCAGCTATTCAGCTTAAATTAAAAATTAAAAAACTAAAAAATGTATCGTTTTTTTATTAAAGTAGAAGACCTCTACATTGCTAGAAATACTAATTGAAAAAATGCGATTCAAATTTCAAAATATCCAACGGCGTCGAAATTTTAAAGTTGTTAGCGATAGTGATTACCAGTGTAGTACCTCTGGTTCTGGTAATCACTATGGCTAACAGATTTGTGTACCAACTCGGTGAATTTTTGTCCTTGACCCAAGTTTCATCAATCTCCGCAAACATTTTAAAATGTACACGAATTAATTATTGCGAATTTTTAAAAATTTCAACATGCCGTATCTCGAAAATTTCGGTCTATAGCTACAAAGATGTATTTTATCAGACATTCTACAGAAATGACGCAATAAGCAAGCAGTTGTAATAGAATTAGGAAGAAATTATATGATAATACCTACTTATCGAAAAATGTGTATCCACTGAACGTTTTTTACGTACCGGGAATATAAGTCGTTTCAGAAAAAGGTATTAGAAATCCTAGGGGTTACAGAATATTAAAATATGGCTGTTTTTTGCTATGACCTATGGATATGGATGGTCTTTTGTTTTCAATTTACAACGCATTGAAGATAAATTTTTTATAATAATTTGGTCCATATCTCCAGAAGTAATTTTGAGAAGAAACAGGTTAGGTAAATTTTTTGAAGTTAGAATTTTTTGATACTGAGTACGAAAACATGCTATCTCATACTTCGGTTGGAAAACATGCTATCTCAAATTAAGCTTGGAAAACATGCTAACTCAGATCTTTAGGTAAAAACATGCTATCTCAGTGTTTTATAATTTGTTATTTCAAAAAATGTCAAGTACGTGTTGCAGCATACTGCATATTATTCTATTTTTTTAATTAACAATTTTGTCGTTTATAACAATGTAACTTAACAAAATAAATTGAAAAATGTTGAATAAATAAAATAAACAGTGTACCTGAACATAAACATTCCTTACTTTTTAAAAAATATATTATATAAGTTTATTATAAATGCACGGTTTCAATCATTCCATGTGCCAACTTAAATTTCTAGTCACACCGAGATAGCATGTTTTTACCTAAAGATCAGAGTTAGCATGTTTTTCAAGCTTAATTTGGGATAGCATGTTTTCCAACCGAAATCTGAGATAGCATGTTTTCGTACTAAAGCGTCGATACTTACAATTTTTTATATATTTACTTTTTAATCCTACACTAAGAACACACTCTAAATAAACATTCATAAAATCTATTCAAATTTAAGAAGAACCGTAAAAATTGAAAGTGATTTTAAGCTATTATTAGATAAGTTTTGCTTTTTGTTCAAATTTTGTTTAATTAATATCGTCTTTTAAAACAGTTTCAAAAAGAAAGTAATCTATATGAACAAAACGTTTACACAAACGAAAAAAAACTATAGGATATTCAAGAAAAGGAATATACCTAATTTTAATGAAAAAAATAATAAAAAAATTAAATATTGAAAATAATAATTACTACTACCATTTAAACAGGAATGAAATGGTCTCAAAAATGTTGTGAAGTAAAGTATTTCTGGTTTCAAACATAACGAACGCCCTGTATAATTCATTTAAAATAATAAACTATATCAGACAATTTAAAACTTCTCAAATTGTACATTTGATACAATTTTTTTTCAATACAATATCCGTATTGACTTCTGTTGGAATATATTGACAACATTCTTGAGAAAATAATCATTTTAACACCTTTTATATTAAAAATAAAAAACGATAAATTCATCGCTGATAAGAATAAACATAAAGTTTATGATACGTTTATCTGAAATACCCTATTTATAATCATTAGACATCGGAAACTTTTATGGCGACAATCAAATAAATAAGCAGTAGTAACAACCTAGATTGTTCAACGACACGCCAGATCAACATGACAGGCATTAGAGTCCCGCTAGATACGTATAGAATAAATTGATCGATACGAAGCTTCAGATCAGAGGCAGATATGTACGTATTATTTTACAATGACGCGGATAGTATGGGATTACCAAAATGTGAAGTAGTTGATGTTTCGCCACCATTAATAAAAATTGCATCTGTTAAAAACTATTTTAGTCTAAATTTTGAACGGTCATTTTCGTTTTTCAAATGGGTATTTACCGGTCGCAGAATCCTTACAACAACTGCTAATTATTTTCTACAATCGTTTTCCTTATGAGTAAGAAATTATTATTTTGTTAACTCTCGCTGATAATTATTATTACGTACTATACCTATATATTCTATGGTACTACTCCTTTTTAGTTTCATACTATTATGCAAATACTTACATATATATTCTTATAATATTAAGAGCGCGGTTATAAGAGGCAACGGTTGTGTCATTTTTGGTTTGAATAAAATTACATAAAAGAGAAGCCGGCCTACAACCAACCCTGCACCACATTGCAGCCACCCTAACATGTCTGATTTCCAATAATCACATTTATATTTAACAAACGTAAAATTATTATATCAGTTACCACATTTATTTCTGAAAGATAAAACTTTTATTTGCTGAAATATATGTATCTATTTCAAATAATATCGAAAACAATGTGATTTAATCCCGCATGTTTTTCAATAAATACAAAATTTTTTTCCCATCACAGTTCTCGACAATTACCTAACAAAATTTTTAATAAAAGTTTGATATTAATCGAATTTATTTAAGAGTCGATATTGATTTAACCACATTTTAAAACAGTCAAAATAATTCAAGAGATGAATATATTAAGTATGGAAACTAATACGAACTTCTTTGGCTTATTGCAGGTACGGTGAATGCCAACGGAGAAACGAAGCGTCAAAGGACATCATACACCCGATATCAGACTTTAGAACTCGAAAAGGAATTCCATTTTAACCGGTACCTAACCAGGAGACGGCGCATAGAGATAGCTCACGCTCTTTGCCTCACGGAACGACAAATCAAAATATGGTTCCAAAATAGGCGTATGAAATGGAAAAAGGAACACAAGATGGCCAGTATGAATATCGTTCCTTATCACATGTCCCCCTATGGTCATCCCTATCAGTTTGATTTGCATCCTAGTCAGTTTGCTCACCTCGCAACTTAGGATGTTTTGTTGATTGTGATTCATTTTTATAGGTATTTTATTTATTTTAATTTTATTTTGCTAGCATTTTATTTTGCATGTTTTTAATAATAAAATGAAACAAATTCGGAAACATACAGGGAACTATGTATGCCAGATTATATTTCATAATTGTAAATAGTTGTTAGTATGGCTGTATGTACGCTTTGTAAGTTTTATTATTAGTTTGTACTAATATCTATTCAGTGCAGATTTATAGATATTCAACATAATTGCTGTGGAATGTGCGTTGCCCTTCAGCCCAAACATAAAATATTAACAAACAAAAATTGTAATATATTCCACAACAAATATAACATCTAAATAAAATAACATCTATAATAAGAAATTCTAACCACCTATGAACGATATTTTAACTAACAAGATTTCTTTTAAAAATTATTTAACACGATATTTATTTGTGGACAAATGTACTTATAATTGGAGAAACTGTTAAATAATTTTGAAGAAGTAGATACACTTAATGTGTCCAAAAAAAAAAAACAAGAATAAAAATTGGTTATTTTACTTGTAAAAACGTGTTGATGAAACTTTAGCCATTAATAGTCAGTTTGAGTTAATGAAGCGAGGCAAAGTATATCTCAGAGGCTGGAGGTAGAATTGTTTAAATCTAAGATAAGCTATTTTTTTCAAAAAGCTTCATAGTCTAGGAATTATTTAGCATAGTCTAAAATAGCCTTTACATTATGCGGTCACTTGCCAAACAGTTCTTAAACTTAAACATGTGCCGTATAGTGTAAATGGTGTATATCGATACATTCGCAAGTTTGCCTTCTCTTAAATATTCATCAAAGCTATACTAACTAAACCTACGCGGCACATACCAATCGACTGAAATTAGTAACTTTTCTAGATTCACAGAAAAAAAATGGTAACCTATCATGCATAGAATGTTTATGAACATTTGGGGAGATATTTGCTTATATTTTACCGTATGTACGATGCGCTTTCAATTTTGACCAAATAACTGATCAATATCTGGAGACGATTTAAGTAAGAGAAAAGTTTTGATTTTTGATTTGAACTAATATTTTGCGCACAATGTCCCGTATGAAAATTCACTCTTAATCCATATGTGACTCAAGAATTCTCTTTTAATTAAATTTGGTTTTATTAAATCACAAAGAATGCTTTACATTTATTTTGATGGATGTTTTATGTTTACGAGATGTTAAGCAAATAGCTGAACGTTATTCCATGTAGAAAACTGAGTTTATTTATTTTCCGTATAACGTAGTACCTACTGTAAAGTTTGTACACTTATTACTTGACTATCTACTGAAAAGCTTTTTCTGTACTTACCTACATATATGTTTGTAAATTCTGAATTAGAATTGTACATATCTAACTATCAAAGAATACTGCTCATTTCGTATTTTATACGATATATGTTTAACGTGTCGTCCAGGTATATGTAGTCACGTGTACCAACCTAGAAATATATTTCCCCAATATTTAACAACCCAATCCACCCTTCCATCCCTAAAAATGTGCCTTGGATGCAGTGCTAATACTGTTCCATGTTACAGATTTCCACCTGGCGTCCCTCCAGGACGAAGGATACGCATTCCACCAGGCCATGGGGATGGGAGGTATGGGATCTATGCAACGTGGCCTCTACGCTTGCGGGAGTCCCTACAGCTAGCCCTGGGCCACTTACAACGGAGACTGCGGGCCTTCTTAGGCCAAAATCGGATCTTTGTGCAGTCTTCGGCCCATGGTTCCACGATGATTCAATTTATGGGGCACCACAAGGGATACGTTGAAGGCTAATCGAAAGCTTCTTCTACAACTTGTGGCTTAGTCTCCATTGAAATGCAATTGAAACATGGTGAAGTACCGTGGGTTTATATTTTGTCTGTGCCAATAGACGTTTCGGCGAATTGGTATCGTGAATGTCTGTGACAGAAAAAATAATAGTCATTTTACAGATTAATGATTTTAATGTAAAAGAAAAGAAATTTATCCGATATCAGATATATCGAAAAACTTAACAGATCTTTAATAAAATCTCAGTAGCGCATTTTACTAATTTTTAATTCATGTGCAAATATTTACTTGCAAAATGGAATCACTGTTAACAATTTTAGTTTAGTTTATTTAGTCATTATCACTTCTGAAAATTAATATTTTTAATTTGAAAAAAGCGAACATGTTAAAATGTAATATGAATATCATATATAAAATGTGCAATATGTTGTTAAAAAGTTATTTGTTTCACAAAAATGTTATTGTTTATACAAGGTAAATTGTCTGCATTTTTAATCTTGTGAAAAGACACTGTGCTCACTTTATTAATATAGTTTTGAAAGGAAAACAAGTGTGATTATATAGTTAGGTACTTAGTGTAAATATAATAGATTCTGCACTCCTTTGTAAATATTGCAGCAATTTTAAATAAATTATTATTTAAGTTATGTACTGAATGAATGAATTCTAGGGTACATGTAAATAAATTATACCCCTCTAACGTTGTATAGAATACCTCATACGTATAAGATATGTATCAGACCATAAATATGAAAAAATAATTGTCTGGGGTTGAAAAAAGTTTTTATTTGAAAGCAATATTTAGTTAAAGGCAGAATAAATATACCGTACTGAGGATGTATGTAAAATTGTATTATAGTGTGTATATCATTAGCTCAATATTGTTTATAATTTTTGTTCAATTTATTTATGTATTTGTACTACTGTGTGTGTGGAACAAACAAGTTAGATTGTACAACATCTTCATAATAGTTACTGTTGTAATTGTCCACTCTGAATAAACTATTAATAAAAACGAACCCATTGTTTTAGTGTTGCCTGATATTAGTTATTGTTTTACAAATATGTATGTTACAACAATTAATATATCAAAATGTGAAAAATATAATATAGGTTCAATTTTAACTAGTAATTTGTGGAACAGTTTAACAACCATTAACAGAATATTGAATAATTCATGATATAATGGAGAATATTTAAATTGGCAAGGTGTACACTTTAAGCATGCCAGACATAAAAGGGTCATTATACCTACCACAAAAAAGATGTGCACAACTTATAAAAAATGAAATGCAATTAATAAAATTGATTTCTATATTTACTAATTATGTAAAGCACCCCTTATGTTATATTTGTTGAATATGTCAAGGAAATTTAAACATATTTTAAAATTTTAAGGCGCTTTGTAAAATACATATTAGAACAATAAAAAAATTCACATCAGTATCATAAGAACATAACGCTGCATAATTTATATCTGACTTCTATTTTAAAAGTATTAAGCTGATTCAAACAAATTAAACAAAAAAATATTCTTTATAAAGATCTTATCAAATAAAGCCAGTCATTCAAAAAAACATCTTGCATCTTTGTTGTTCTCTCATCACCCTTGACAAAGACGAAGAAAAAAAGAACTATTAGAAATATACGTATCTTTTTGTTTCTACATTTTACTTCATCAAATAGCATCCTCTTGTATAAAATTTATATATATTAATACATATAAGAAATTATAATATGACATGAAAATTTTAGAAAAAAAGACATTCTGAAACAACAGTTAAAAGCGTTGAATATGAATTGTTTTTTAACGAACCGATATTTGCTGGTTTTGAAAACCTTTTAAAAAACATATACCTACTTCAAAGGTATTTTGTTATTTCTAACAAATTCGTTTTTTTTTCAAAATAATAATAATAATAATTATTATTATTATTACGATTATTNTTTTCATCAATGACAGATACTCAATGCGAAATGTTTCACGATATGACAAGAATAACAAGTAAAAGACTCCAGAAGCAAAAATATTATATTAGGGTGAAAATATAACCATTTAGATCAAGGTACCTCTCTAAAATTTTGCATAATTAAAAAAGTACAGGCCTTTAAAAAAATGTTACATTTAATCTGAAGTAACTTACAGGGTTTTAAAAAAAGAGTGTAAAATATTTAAGGAGGTAATAGTATGAACCAAAATAAGCAGAAAAGTCTCAATAAACATGGGTCCGCAAAGTAACGGTTGCGGAGATATAATAATAATAATAATAATAATAATAATAATAATAACTTTATTTTCCTTGAAGCCTGACATTGTATAAGAATTGTCACATTTTTTTATAATTAAAATAACTTAAAACTACCTACACTGTACTTTATTTATTAAATACTTAGGAATAAAAAAATCACTTAAGGTAGGTACCGATACCTAAAGTGTATTTCTTATTAAATATTTGCGCATTTTTTTCTCCAAAGAAATAAAATTATTTGAGTTCTTTATCTCAGAAGGTAATTTATTAAAAACTTTTAAACCTAAATAAAATAGTGAATCACAAGATGCTTTATATTTAAAAAAGGAATGTGAAATTTCTTATTTTGCCTACCTAGCGTCTTTATTATGTATATTTTTACTTAATTTAAAAGTGGACTTATATACGGACAATTCAAAGATAAATAAAGATACAACCATTAAAATATTAAATTTTTTTAAAATTTGTCTACTTGAATGGTCATAAGATATTCCAACCATATCTCTTAAAATACGTTTTTGTGAAAAAAAAGCTGATGCAAGTGAGGAATTTTGCCAAAAAAACAACACCATATCTCAATCTGGAACTCACATACGCTTGGTTAACAGTTATTAATTATTGTAAAGAAGTTAAAACAGGTTTCAGGCTTCTTATCAAATAACCGAATATAACTTCGATATTATCAAAGTACAATGAGATTTCCACGGGAGGCATTCGTCAATTGGTACTCCCAAATATAATTTCATAAGTTAAACATAATTTGGCACAATATTGTTACCAGTTATGGAACCTAATTACTTGAATTTTTTCAGGATTGAGATAGAGATGGTTGGACTTATACCACTCACCCACTGCCTTTAATAAAGAATTAGTTTTTGTTTCTAAAGACTTGTCTGTGGTATCAGATGCTAACAAGGATGTATCAACGGCATACATGACAAAAGAGGTATCAGAAACTACATTGACAAATTCGTTGGTATACAATAAAAATATAATATGGATCCATGAGGAACCCCTATACCGATTCCAGAGGTTCAGAATTTACATTTGACAGAATTTTTTCGTTCGTATACGTCAGACTAACATACTGTTTACGTCTTAAAAAGATGCGACCCACCCGTTTGATACTCCTTTTACACCATATACGAATCCAATCCAAAGATTTTATCAATAAAATCAAACGATGTTATTCGATATCAGTTATGTATCTAAATATGAAAAAGACAGAGGATTTGGAATTTGTTTGAATCAGCTTAACAACTTTAAAATAGAAAAAATATTACAAAAGGTAATGACACAATTATTTTTTAAAAATGCTTATCTGGTTGAGAAAAATTTGTCAGCTTTGTGCACGTCTAGATTATTCTATATACATAGTTACGTGATTATTTTTTCTGATGTAGGTGACAATCCAAACAGTAATTTTTTACTTAGAAAGCTTATGTTTTTAGCAAAGTTAATATTTCTAAGCTTCCGGCAAGTCTTTCTAAAAAATTTCAGCATTTAAGGCTTTTACAAGAACGAATATGTATAGAAGTGTACAATATAGAATATTTAATATTTTCATGGAACGCTACCTAAATAATAACCAGGCCTATCCCGAAAGCTTAAAAATCCTACATTAATAACATCCACGCATATTTCACAAACGTACGCATGTACTCGCAATCAGTTTAACTTTTGATGTAGGTAATATACAATTATTCAGGAATATTTGATTTTTTCGTAAATGAAATATTTTCTATACCTTCGGCAGATTATTTATTATATACTTTAGAATGGTGGCAGACAAAGCTCAATAAATCTAGGTACTTGATTTTATACCGCAGACAATTTCAAAAAAGTACAAACAAGAAATATAGGCAGACATTATGATACTGATCAGTTTTCCGCCACCATGCAGATGATTGTGGTCAGTAATGTTCTGTGGTTTTTAAATCCATATATTTATTATAGGTAAGATTTATTTTAGTAAATTATCGTCACACATTCAAAATGTGACATGTGCATATTTTCAGCAAAACCGTTAAGTGCAGAATTCGATAAATGGCAACAAACCGTTCTATCTGGTTAAAAACAGCCTTCTTATATTCTACATAATTGTGATTGTCCGATGTAAAATTAAAAACAATTGTTGTAATTCTTAAATAAAAAAGGCCAAGAAACAGTTTCCTAACTGTACTCAATAATGTGATAAAATACCTACACATGTCGCATTTTGAAGGCGCAACGACGAAATACAATATAAAACATTTTCTACAATATCGTCAAAATCAGTATTGTCCGAAAGCACTTTTTCACAATCAGTGAAAACTTAACCTGAACGAAACACATATATACAGCACATAAACTCATTCAAAATCAACCAACAACAGTTTTATCCATGGTCTCATGTAGATGAAAATGACTTCTTTAATAACTATTAGTGGTTATAATATAATAGTTTTTAGAATTCCATGATTTTAAATTTCAACGTTGAGAGCAACAGAAAAAGCAACCCCCTACCGCAATAAATTATTAATAAAAATTGATGTATTTTGTAATAGATTCAGAAAAAGATTGAAATAGATTCTGCACATGCAATGCAATTATTACCTGAAAGATATTTATTATATTATAAAAAAATTATCTGAAGTCTGGTGTATAACTGGTTGCCTGATCTACTTGATCTGCGCTTTATGTCAGCTTATACTGCAACCAGTAAATCACGTACACGTTCATTTTTTGAAAAAAATTGTGAAGAAAAATAATTTTCGAGAAAAGAATAGACGCAATAATGGACTGATATTTTTTTAATTTTTAATAATTGAACTATTAAAATAAAACCCATATTCCTTTAATATTATACTTTCTACAAACTATTTTTTTTTCTGATTTGGCCAAAATAATAGACGGATTTGTTTAATGTACAAAAAAAGTACTCAAGAATCATAGTAAATACAACACATCGATAGTTTACTTAAATATTTTTGAATATTTTAACAAATTCTTGAAAAATATAAGTACATACCTATTTTTGTATGATAATAATAATAGTAATAATAATAATGTTGCATGAACATAAATAATCACAATAATAAGCACTTGCATATTTTATTATTATTACTATTTCTTTATTACCTCTATTTATTTTTATGATATATGAATTTCTTAGTGCTGGTCGCAAGTTACTAGTATTTCCTGATGAGCATTACAAAATATAAATACATATTATGAAAAGCTTGAACGAATAATATTTAAGTAGCTACTGCAAAATCAGTACCAACGAGTCATTGGTTATGGTTTCGTATATTAATTCAATTTTATTAATAAAAAGAATAACGAGAAAGCCACAGTTCTGAATGATGATGTGTGAAATTGAAATTTATTAATGAATCCACTTAAAAAACCGAAACAAATTTTAGTCTGAACGAAAGTTTCCCACACTACTGTGAAAATATTTATTAATATCAAGACAAATAATTTAAAGCCGGAATGTTCTTTTAAACAGAATTAAAGATGAGACTGGACGTACAAAAGGACATAAACTGTATTCGCTTTTCCACGTAATTCTACATTACAAATGTAAATCTGCAGCATTTCATTCCGCGACATATCAAACGGTTGGTGGTCAAACATCAAAATAAAGTCTTCTGTGTCAGTCTTCCCTTGACTATACTCGACATTTATATAGCGATATCTACAAAGACATTAACATAATCCTTGTTTGCATATAAACAAACAGTATATATAAAGTTGGTAGAGGTATTCTGTACTGAATTAATAACAAA